CGAACTGAATATATTCCAAGGGCACACCGTAATAAGTTAAGGAAGCTGAAGAAACAGTACTATTCCACTAAGGACATATCACTATTGCTCTCAATCCACGAGTCTCTTGAATCTATCAAGCGCCTACGCTCTCAAAAGGACCTCGACGAAGAGTTAACGGCACTTGAAAGTACCTCCAAAGTTTATAACTTAACGGCACTTCTTAAAAAACGAATGCAGTCGGCGAGGGAAATCCCATACTTACTTCACGACAAAGTAATCTACAATGAACCTGCCACTATCTGTGAACTTTCAGTGATTGGTTTGCAAACTTTAGTTTAGAAACACATATGCCTGGTGAAACCGCCCCCTTACTATCTCTTCCCTTGAAAGCATTGTGTTCACTAATCAATTAATAGTACAAGCAATTAAAAGCCTTAAACCTTCCACTAGTACGGGACCGGATGGCCTCGCTTCGATAATTTTCAAAAACAGTGGGTGTGATATACCCTGTTACTTCTTAAATTCTTCTCAATATCTATGGACACTGGCACTTACCCTAGTGAGTGGAAAACTAGCTTCATAATTCCACATTACAAATCTGGTGATAGGGCAAACGTCCGCAATTACAGACCCATAAATATAACCCCAGTTATCTCACGAATCATGGAGAAAGTTGTAAAAGATCAATTGTCAGACTACCTAATTAGGGAAGATCTTGTTACAAGGTCTCAACACGGATTTCTCAAAAATAGATCCTGCGTTACTTGCCACTTCGACTTTTTCAACTGCATCACTAGTAGTCGCGAAGCACGTAAGCTAGTCGTTGTTCTCTACTTCGATATATCTAGGGCATTTGACATGGTATCTCACAGTATTCTCTTTGAGAAGCTGTACTCTTGTGGAATTCGCAACCCATTACTGAACTGGTTAAAATCATTTCTAAGCAACAGGGTACAAATAACCAAAGTTGGATCTGTATTGTCTCATCCTAGGCAGATCTCAAGTGGGGTCGTGCAAGGTAGTGTCCTAGGTCCACTTTTATTCACAGTCTACATTAACAGCATTTGCAAGTGCTTCACCTCAGGTAAACCATTCCTATATGCTGACGACCTCAAAGTCGTCTACTCCTGCTACACTCATGAATTAAGCGATATGGTTACTAAAATACATCTTGAACTAAGTAGCCTCGCAACATGGTGTGCTGAATCCTGTCTAAATTTTAACATTGACAAATGCGGCTGGATTTGTATCGGCAACAGTAACCTTGATCTAACTCTTGAAATAAATGGGCGAAAACTAGCTAAGCTCAACTCAGTCGTAGATCTCGGTATTAGATACTCTAGTAACCTAACGTTCGCTGAACAGACTGATTATGCCAGACGTAAAACGCGAAGGCTGATAGGATGCATAACACGCAATTTCTTTTGTTGTGAAACTAGGGTTTTATTATACAAAGTATGTGTCCGACCTATCTTAGAATACTGCCCGTTTATTCTTAGCGGACTCAGACAAAATGACAAGCTTAAATTAGAGGGAGTGCAACGGCAGTTTACCTCAAGAACTCTTGGTTTAGAAAGTGGTCTGGAATACCATGAGCGATGCGAAAGACTAAGATTAGAACCCCTCTGGAAAAGACGCCTTAAGCTAAACCTTATCTTTTACTATAAGCTAACTAATCTTCTCTTGCATTCCTCCGAGCCAATAACTAAACCTACCGCTGTCATCAGTTACAATCTTAGAAATCATCACAACCTAGCTGCTATAGAGCACTGTCAGACTTACGTGCGGTACAACTTCTTCTTAAATAAGTTTTCAGTCATTTGGAATAGACTACCAGCTAATGTGCGCGATGCAAACACACTTCCAGTGTTCATCTCCTCAGTCACCAGACTGCTCAAAGATGACAATGCACTTTACGTCTGACTCTTACACCTCTTTTTCACCCTACATAGATATTTTAAGTTCTTTAAACGTGTAGTTACAACAAACTACAATTATAAATTTTAATATTATTGGAACTAGATGATAAACATTTCTACACAGGACAGTAATATTAGTTCACACAATATAAAAGTTAGCATAACGGGACTAGTTAGTTTGTGTACAAAAATAACCACAGTTACTAACAGAATATATATGTATATATTTATTAATCACTCCTTAAGGACTCCCGTTGCTTTCTTTTGCGTTGCTGTTGTTTGTCTTCTTTTTTCTCTCACCATTTCAGCTTCCATTTGACTTTTTGAATGAGAATGAATAATGTGGATATTTGACCATTTACAATGACAAATGATCTGCAAACATTATTGTTCCCGTATCTTCCAGTTGCCTAGTTAATAACGAATTAACTTTCCCCACGACGCAACCCGGATTACATTTTGTTAATGCGAAGTCAATATTCCCATATTTCATGATGTGCTCCATTGAATGACTGGTTATCATTTTGTTCCCACAAACCAAAGACAGAAACGTCAGCAAACATGTAATTTAACTATAAACCAAATTTATGAAATTTAAATAATGCTTATCCATGCCTGTACATTTGATGTGTCCTACACAGGTAGGAAAAATGTGTATTTTATTAAAACATTATTGTTAGGTATGATTGCTAATCGTATATGTAATTTATCAGACTGATGATGCCTGTAAACTGGCGTCCCTCATGTACAAAATGAGAATATACTACTATTATTATTATAAATGACTGCGTTTCGCTCTCAGACTGCTCCATTCTAGGGGTGAGATGCAATATACTGGCAAACTTGCTCATAGCTTGATTGACACTATCTTTTATCGGTTTCAGAATATCATCGAACTTTGGCTCAATACCTTCATCCTTTATACGAGAGCTTATCTTCACCTCCTTTGCAGTCGAGTAGGTAGGCGTCTCACTAATAACCCCAGGACGGAACTTGAGTTCATATCGCTCATGCAACTCATCGAAATCAACGTATTCTTGTAAGTCATCAGATTATCCAGAAACTCAGAGAGTGCCTTGGAGTCATCTTGTAATTGATCACCATTACCTTTAACAGCCTCGTATAAATTCCCTACAATCATCGAAGGTCTTCCGAATCTTTGACGCAGTATACTCACAGCCTCAGAGTATCCTTGGTTTGGGGTATATGCTTACAGCACTGTATAGCTCTTGAAGCAACACCAGTGCATTACCTCAACAAATACATTAACTTCATTTCATTATTTAATAAAAAACCACTCAACATGATTTCAAACTCCCTTACAAACTGTGGATAGTCAGCTGGGTCTCCGTAGAAACACCGTGGTTCAAATTTAGGAAGTTTAAAATTCCTATTATCCCTAGACTGCGGACCATGAACAACAAACTCATCACGCTGAGCATCATACATATCGTTACAATTAACAGCAACTCAGCATTACTTACTTTCCTGCCTGCTTCCAAGGCGCTTCGTCCCTTCTTTGACCCAGGCATCACTGAACTTGACCAAAAATTCCAGAAAAGTTCCGGATAATGCTTGTCAAAGAAGACTTGCAGACACCAGGAAAGACGAACAGAAACTATCAGAAACTGTCAATGTCCAGCTCCTACTACACTGGACCTCACGCTGTCACTCGAAGAATTTCAGAAACACTTTTGTATTAACCAACGCAAAAACCAGAACACTGATTGGCGACTCAAGAATCCCTCATTCTTACGCCAACATGTAACCAACAATAAGGTTATTACACAAGGTCTGAGAATAAATGTTATGGCAATAAATCACGATTATACTTCTGACAATTTTCTCTCTTCCAACGAACAGTGAACGATGAGACGATGACTGTACTATCGATGACTCCGACGAAAAATATGAAGGAGATGGGTCGCTAATCGAGGCTGCAAGGGGTAGTGTATTTCTCATGGATGACCTTATCACTGAGTGTAAATTGACGCCTTGAACTTCTAGTCGTTGTGTTAAGTTCCCCCCTATTCGCTTTCCGCCTCATTATCCATGCAGATTCTTGCACTGTAGTTGGTTGAGTCTTCGAATACTTCTGCCAAATGTATATTCAAACTGTATATTTCCTAAGCTTCTCTATTATTTTTGTCTCATTGACATGTACTGCCTTTTTTGTACGAATGAAGTCAGCCTCTTGATAATTTTTGTCTATCTAAACATGTTACAACGTAAATTCGCCGCTGCGTCATAGTTAGGGAAGATGCTTATCCAGGTTTATGGTGGCACTTTAAGAACACATTCAAACCTGTCTCATTTTCGAACAAGTGAATAAAAGTTGATAGAATTCGATATGTAACGAGGATTTTGATGGTTTTATATATACCAAACAATATCCATTTGGCACTGAGTAGTTCTTATGTAATAAAACAAGTTTTAGCTAGATGCGTTCAATTGATGTCAATCTACTTTCTAAAATTTGTGTATAAAATCAAATTGTGTTAGTGTATTTTGATATATAATCATTTCGATTGTTTTCAGGCATGTTAAAAGTTAATCTTTTAATGGGAGGAAACTATATGTAGTTCTCATTTGACTTAAGAAGTGTTATGATGCTTTCATAAATTTTACTTAGTATTCCAGAAGTTTTAACTGTTTGTGATTGAGGAACATCACTATGTTACAATTTCCGTGTTTTAAGTTATTAACTTGTTCTGCGTTTTACTGATCTTCATGTCGACGAAAGGAGTTGGTCATTTCATCATATCTAATAATGATAATGATTAATAGGTTTTGATGAGTTTTATGATGATTAGAGAGCACTGCCTCACATGGTAAATATCAACCCCAGCTCATATGTGGGCATAAATCATATGACTGTCATGTACTGTTGTAGATGACAGTCAGTTTATTTTTGGATGGCACACTGGATGAAAAGTCACCAAAAGTTGTGTTCATGCACCCTAATGGACACCAAAATAACATCTAGAAGACTTTCGGAGGTTCCAGTTGGTGGTTTCAGGGTTAGGTGAGGTCCAGAACATCGATTTATAAATAAATGTAACTATAAACAACTAGATCATGTGCAACCATCCAGTTGTAATGTTTCTTTTCCTCTGTTTACGAGTTTTAATTTATTTACCTTGCCATCAACTTAAAAACGAGATTGTTACTATGGTGTGTTTTTAATATCCAAATATTGAATAATGATCATTTAGGCCTCCCGAACAAAGTCTGTAGCCGACTTCACTGGACGCTTAGTAAATGGAGGTTTACGATATCGACCTCTAGATGATCTGAAGGCTATATTCAAAACAAGAGTACAAGAAGGCTCTCGTAAACTAGATAAAAACCCTGCTGACTGTTCAAAAACATGGGCTTCAAATTTAAAGAAACACCCCTGTTACCTACAGCTGCCTCCTATGTCTTTACCAGCTCAACTCGATGCAGTGGCTATTGACTACCTTCGAGAGCATTCCGTTTCTCCTCCAAAGGCAATTGAAGATCGTTCCAAAATTCTTGCTGATTATCTTTGGTCACGGCCTCTTTTGTCAGAGGTAAGTAGATAGTATTGGTTACTTTCTTCGTTTTGTCACACTTAGGTGTATTCTTCTTGAATGTTATTAGAAATAAGTTTTTATGAAATTGCATTGTATTCTTAAATTTCTAATTTAGGAAACGATTGTACAGAAATCACTCAACATGAAAAAGTCGAAAGACGTGGATGAAGAAGATGAGGATGATGGTCTGACTTTCGCTCTAGAGAACTTTGCTGATCAGCGTGAGGCTCGAATTTCCAGGGAGCTAAGTTTGAAATCCTGGAAATCTCTAAGGTACATTCCAGTCTCTATGTGAGATGAGTTGTGTATCTGTTTTTAGTATTCTAATATTATTACGTATTGTTTATAGGAAGCACCTATCATCTATATTAATCAGTATAACTTGACTGTTTGGAAGTGTACCTGCCAAACATTTTCATGAATACTTATATAGCATTTCATATTATCAGCCAAACAAGCTGGCACAGGAATCAATGAACAGTTATGCTGATAAAGTTTTAACTTAGTTTATTTAGTCATAGTCTACATAAACTGAATGTTTGGTTGACTTCAAGGGGTAAGAAAAGTGCTTCAAAGATTTTTTTGGGACTATCAATGAACACTGGTTGCAGGATTTCATCATGAGCTGACATCGGTTAGAGAACCACTGGAATACCTGGGAGTACTGGACAGCTGTTTCGTCCTAGTAGGGGACCCTTCATCAGTACGCACCCACCGGGGTTCGAACTCAGGACCTTCCGGTTACAAGGCAAGCTCGTATACCATTAGGCCACTGGGACCCGATCCAATGGTCCTTGAATTCTAACTTCTGCCAATTCACGTCATAGCGCGACCGCTAGCCAATGTCTTCGGCGAGTATTTGTCCTCACACCCGACCAGCTGCACCCTACTGGACACGACTTCCCACCGGAACCCAGGTAACTACCTACCTGAATAGGGCCAGTCGCCAGTGAGCATCTCATTGGTATTCAAGTGTTGGTTTGCAGGGATTTGATTGGTTGCAGGATTTCATCATGAGCTGACATCGGTTAGAGAACCACTGGAATACCTGGGAGTACTGGACAGCTGTTTCGTCCTAGTAGGGGACCCTTCATCAGTACGCACCCACCGGGGTTCGAACTCAGGACCTTCTAGTTACAAAGCGAGCTCGTAGACCATTGAGCCACTGGGACCCGATCCAGTAGCTCAAGAATTCCAACCTCTATCAATTCACAACATAGCGCGACCGCAAGCATTTATCCTCACACCCGATCTGCTGCATCCTACTGGTCACGATATCCCACTAGAATCCCAGGTAACCACCTACCTGAATAAGACCAGTCGCTGGTAGGCATCTCAGTGATTTTCAAGTCCCAAACTGGGGTGAAACAGCTGTCCAGTACTCCCAGTTTTTCCAATGGTTCTCTAGCCGATGTCGTGTCATGATGAAATCCTGTAACCGATCAATCAAATCCCTACAAACCAATACTTGAAAATCAATGAACACTTTGTTGTTACCTTTAAAAAACCCTGTTTGTCAATCTTATTCGGTTCATCGTTTGTATCGTGTAAAACAAATAATCTGCACTTAGAAGAAAACAGAAAATAAATTCATTAGGAAGACATTTATTCGATAAACCTTACCGGATAGCAAAATTCATTGTCACAAATCCCCATTATCATTACCAAACTTACAGGTTTTCGATTATGAGTGGATTTAGCAACAGTATTATTATTATTGTATCCTTTAGTTCCTAGAGGAACATAGGGCTTCAGCTGCGCACCTCCATTGACTTCTGGTTTTTGACAACTTTTTCACCCTGCTCCAGGTCTGCCCACATGCTTTCATCTCCTCTTCACATGACCTCCTCCAAGTCACCCATGCACTGACGACCAACTCGCCGCCTCCCTTTCGGGTTCCACTCGAGGGCTTGTCTAGTGATGTCACTTGTTGGTTTCCTCAGCGTATGGCCAATCCATCTCCATTTCTTTCTGCCTATTTGTTTAACAATCGGTTCCTGATTGGTTCGCTCCCAGAGATCCCTGTTGCTGATCTTTTCTGGCCATCTGATCTTGAGTATTGAGCGGAGACAGTTGTTAATGAAGGTTTGAAGTTTGTTTGAGATGCTCTTTATGACTCGCCAAGTCTCTGATCCGTATAGTAGCACTGACTTCACATTGGAGTTGAAAATCCGGATCTTATTTTTGATGCTGAATGCTGTTGACCTCCACACAGATTTGAGAGTAATGAAAGCTTGTCTTGCTTTTCCGATTCTGGCTTTGATGTCCTCGTCAGTTCCGCCTGTAGTTGAGACGATGCTTCCCAGGTAGGTGAAGGAGGTTGTTTCTTTCAGGTTCTTCCCATTTATGCTTATTGTGGTCTGTTGTTGCTGTTGATGTTGGCAAGGAATCTTCATCATCTCTGTTTTATCTATGTTCACGTGAAGTCCTATCTTTGATGCTTCTTCTGCCAATTTGTTACTTTTCATTTGCATATCTTCCAGTTTATGGGAAATCAGACATATATCATCGGCGAAATCCAGATCCACCAAGTCTTTTGTGTCAGTCCAGCAACAGTAGGAAATACCAATTTATCTATGTAAAGTAACCTGTTATCTATTGGATAAGGTGAAATCATTTGCTGGAGGCTAACAGCCTGATTATTCTGTTATGGTGTAGCATTGTAAAAAGGAAATAAATCTTTCTCATTTTGTTGTTGTTAGAGAGTTTCCAGCCTTCTGGCAACTTCTACATTTGTGAAGATCTTGATTGTACTTAAGGTCTATTATATTGGTATTTCTGTTTGACATTCACAATACAACTGATGGGAATGGTTGGAGAATTCAAGTAGTATGGGTTGAAATTAATCGCAGTTTTACAAATGCAATCATACATTGCTTTCATTCTAATTGTATTATCCTACATCTAACCCGCCTTATTTTGTTTTAGTCTAACGGTTGTCTATTGTCCGATTGCATCTGTTGATTTTTGTTTCATGATACGAGAAGATGCAAAGCATTTTCCAGTAATTCTGTGTTCTAGTTTGTTAGTATATGTCGGTAACTGTTTCAATAGACACCCTTTTGTGCGTATCGATGTATTTCCCAAAATATTTTCGCATTCAGCACACCTTATATCATGTGTATTGTAATTTGGTTTGCATAGTATGTTATCTTAGAGTGTGGGTTGTTCTCTTGTAGCTCTTAGATTCCTCAGTGTACATTACACAGCTTATCTACTATTTAATTTCTCTAGTGTTTTATCTAATTATTGTAGGGTATGGAATTAAACTAATCACCCAATAACTTAATTCTCTCGTCCTATATTTGCTGCATTTCTCAAGCTATTCTGGACATACTTGTGAACTTTATTTGGTCTCGCGTTTGGCTCCCAACTTTGCGTCAGCTTGTCGAGTCCTGTATGAGATTCGTAAACGATGTCCTAATTTTATTCCAAGGTCACTGTTTGACTTTGGCTCTGGTCTAGGCACAGTTACTTGGTGAGATATTCTGATAAAATTCGTTTAAATATCTGTTCCATGCAACATTTAAACTTTATGTTCACTTTATTTAGTGTTTTCGTAATCATGTATATTCTTACTACTTATAATTAGTTAAGAACTAGATTTATTTTATGGTTAAAAAGAAAAGCCTTATTCAGAACTGTTCTTAAGAATGAATAAAACACATTACTTAGTGTCTATCTTTTTAAAATTCAAGCTAGAGACGTGTTTGATAGGCTCAAGAACTTTACTACGCTAAGCAAAATATCTTATTTACGTTGCCTTCATCTGTACAATATGTATAATATAGTCTGAAGATGAAATGAGAATTGTAGCTGAAGGCATTTGCGATAGTGCTCATCCAGTGAGTTCACATAATAATGAGGAGTTTGCCACTTGTATTCACTGGAGCATTGGAATTCATTTGGTTCTCTAGTCATTTGAGGAGATTTTCCTTCAATCTCAATTTTTTAATTTGATTACTCTTCATCTACATATCTCCAAACGTAATGAGTTGTCAAATAATTATCTACTTAGCTTTTAATTCACCGTAGTAGCATGTTTTCTTAACGCTTAGTAATCTTGTTTGTATAATGTGCTTCCTCAATTACCTAACTGGGTATTGCTTTTAAAATCATATTCTTTAGTTTCCCTTCGGTGCTAACATTTTGGTATCATTTTGCGAACTGAAATACAGAATACAAAAATATATAATCAGTTTACACCCATGTATGTGCGTCGGTGGCACAATGGTAGAGTGCTGTGCGACCACGTATATGGTTCGGAGTTCGATCCGCTGCCGACGCACTCTTTTTGTACGTCTGTGGCACAGTGTTTAGGACTATCGCCCAACATGCACATAGTCCCAGGTTCGATCCTCTGCCGAAGCACACCTGATATCTATGGTCGGCCTGCAAAATTTGGGCTACCGATATCCATGCTGAAAATTCCATACTTGTACCAAAAATACAGTGTGAAATCAAGCTGTAATCAAAAATAAAATAAATAAGGTTCGACGAATTTGTTTTGCTACCTATAGTTTAACCATGATTTTGATTTTCTCTTACAATATGTTAGACTGATGCTGTGGAGAATTCAGCACGATCGTGCCTAGATAGGTTTACCGAAGGCTACTGTTCTTACCCATCCGTGGTTATTAGTTCACTTAGGGAAGTGCTATTTGACGTTACGTTAAAATTCGTGCATTCTGTAGAGCATTTAAATTATTTCAATCAATTATGGCTTCAGTGAAGGCAGTTCCTCTATTCAACAATGTCCCATTATGGAGAACCGTATGCTAACGATGTGGATTAATCGACTCAAAAAATCTGAGTGTAGGTATACCCACTAAATATAGCTTAGATCTGACACTGAAATGCACCGTAAAGGTGCAGGTTTTATGCAACACTCCAATATACCGACAGAAAGATGGAGTAGCATTGGCTTTCCCAATTGGTCCAGTACTCGCTGATTGCTTCATGAAATACTTTGAGTTCAGTATCCTCCAATCACAAAAATCAATCGGTCCAAAGTATACAAGCGGTACATGAGTGATATCTTTATGATCATCGATGAAAATACTGAGCTAACAAAATCCTGGGGGTCTTTAACAATGCTCATCTATTAGTCGGACTTAAAAGTGAAGCGGAATCCGAAGACATTCTTCTTCCTAGATGTCCGCTTTTCAAGAAGAACCAGTGGAATTCTACAAAGGCCAATCTGTCGTAGACCAAAATGAAATGGATAGCTAGATAAACTCTCACAGTTTTGTCCCAATAAGCGAAAAGAGAAATCTCATCACTTTTGTTGCGACGAAAATCTACCGCATATGCACCAAAAATATGTTGAGTAAGGAATTGGAATCCTTCAAAAACACTGATCAGCAATGAATATCCAGCCTCCTGCATTGACAAACATCTAAAGGTTAAGATCAATATTCCACGAAACCTAGATATGTGGAAGAAACAACTAACTACAAGTCTGAAATTCCAGGGAGATAAAATTAGTCTGTCTGTTTTCACCATAGGACTTTGCACCGATTTGCAGCAGTTCAAGTCGCCACACTACATGTAGCACACAAAGCAAGATAAGAAAGTATAAGAAATACAAAATAGACAGTAAACAGGGATATAAGACAAAAGAAATAGTAATAACGAAGAACAATATAGTTCTGTTGGGTATTGTAAGTCACAAGGAGTGGATGCATCTGCGTCATTGAGAACGATTTCGAGCCATATCACCGACTGTCTCCAGCCATTAGTTTTTACGTCCCGAGGACCCCAACCAGGAAGTTTACACCTTCCTACGTGGCTTAAACTAACTGCTGTTGATTTCATTGACTGATAAAGTCATTTTTGGTTTGACCGCCGCTAGTACTTTTCCAGCCCGACCCTATGTCAGCTAAAATTAACCCTCGAGGAAGGCGATGGCTAGGCATGTGTTCTAACTATATAAATCGATGTAACTTCACAGCCGTGTCTACTGATTTCCCCTCCTTACCTAGCACTCTATCAATGCCTAACCTCAATATTGCTCATCCTATTATACCACTTCACATGGGATATAGAGGGCAGGCACCTATGATCAAAGACAGTTAGTCAGGCTTTTCATATCTTCCACTCTCGATGGCCATGTCTCCCAGCTATAAAGGAGGGCAAAGCGAACTGCTCAGCAGTACACACCCCTAGGACAATAGCCAGCCGGATATCACGTCTAGGCTAGAGACGGCGTAAACTGGCATATTTCAAACGAGGCTTCTGTATCCGTGTTGAGATTTCGTCGGCTATCAACCCGTTGGCGCTGGCTGATGCAACTTCCCAAATAAGTGAAAGGGTCAACACGCTCTACCACTTCACTCCCTATTTCTAAACTAGGAGTCAATGTAGTCTAGTCCTGTAACATCATCTAACATTTGTCGGGGGCGAATCGCATACCAAACATCCGTGGATTGCAGCTCAACGTTTTCAGAAGACTGCACTTTGTCAGCGTCTTCACCTAGAGACTATATCATCTGCATATTCTACGTCAACGAGATTATCCCCTGGTAACAAGTCAATCCCTGAGTCGCTGAAGTGAGTTAGGGTTAAGTCCATCAGTACATCTATGATGAAACTGAGTAGAAACGGGGATAGTGGGCATCCTTGATGGATACCACTAGTTTTCACCACTTCACTTCTCCGTTACATATTTGGAAATAGATTGTTTCCACCAACAGAACCCGTTACGGCAATTTCCATTTAATCATAATGCTAAAATTTGTATGGAAATATTGATTTATCTTTCATATATTTGTAAATCTAATATCCTAACGAATTTATTCTGATTTCATCCTACCTTCACGCTTCACATAAATTGTACTGATAAATAAATGCGTGATTAGAAAATCCGAAATTTAATCAGCGAGTACTTGTGCCTTAGTCATTTCAGCTAAACCTTCTTATTACGTAGTACAAATTTATCTAAGCAGTCAACTATTTGCAGTTCTATGTGGTTACTGCGATTTGCTTTTTATATGTTTTATTACTAATTAGCTTATTCAGTTCATTTTTTCGTGTTTGTTGTACTTTAAACATTTAGGGCTACAAATACTGTCTGGCCGGTAGGCTGCGTACGTGAACACTATTTGGTAGAACCATCCTTACACATGACCCGACTCTCTGAGTTCATGTTCCGTAAGCAGGGAACTGTCCAACCTTCCGAAAATATCTTCCCTGGAGTTTATCATCGCCGCTTCATGCCTGGTAGAAAAGTAATTAATTTTATGTTCTGTTGAAGTTATTTGACATTGAGAGATGCATGTGTAGGAATTAAATTAATAAACTCAATTGTTCTCATAAGTAGGTGAGCGTAATTTAGTTAAAATCCTAATCTTTTCTGACTGATTCAAGATTTTGTAGTAGCTATCACTCCACCTGTTAGTGTGAAAAAGAAACTGGGATGTAACGACTGTCCAGTACTCCCTGGCTTTCAGTATATCTGTAACTACTGCGAATCTGTGACCTAATTAAAAATTGTAAAAATGAAAACTCGAAAAAACCATGTAACTAGTGCACTAGTGCTGGAAATGTTTAACGTTACTGGTTATCTGTTGGGACGTTAGACGCGCGAATAACGAAAGTGCAGTTATATATATATATATATATATGAACCAAGTGTGGTTAACATTTCATGTTGCGTTATATAATTCTGTATTTTTTCTATATGTGCGGTCGTTCGCCTGTAATTTCACACTTGTATAGTAGAGTCTTCGTCAGTTACCATTTGGGTTAACAGTAGGAATTTGCTTAATCTCAAGTTGATTTGCTTCTAGCATGTGTGTAAATTAAAAGAATTTAAGAAGACGCAGTCTACAGTCTCTGAGTTTATGTTCCTGGACGCCGAGTCAAAGGGATTGCCCATTTCGACCAATATAATGCTCATCACAAAGCATGCATTTTTCAGATTATGTTTGTGTTGTCTTCTTTTACTGTTGGGTGTTTGGTCGGCGTAGTGTTGACCGAAGTCAATTTGTTGGTTTGTTCGCGGCATCTGTGCGGAAAGCTTTCAGTATTCGAGCCCTTATTTCAGAGTAATTATTTGTATAAGATGGGATGGTTTCTTGCTGGTAATTTTATTCGTTTTTAAACTAGTTGTTAGAAGACTTTTTCTTCTGTATCAATGCTTGTAGACAGCAATTGACACCTATCTGACTGGGGAAAGGCAGAAATTTCAGACAATCGAAACACTGAAAATGTCAGGAAATTCCTAGAAGCCTGGTACTCAAACAAATCAGAGATTAAGAGACATATTATTGTAGGTCAGATTTACCAACTAATAAAGAATAAGCCATATGACGAAAGAAGTCGAATTCCAAGTCAATAACAACAATCGTTACAAATGCAAATTATTACGAAAATTCCTGTCTAGACATTTGGACGAAGAGAAGACTGACCGAAAAGCATTCTTTTCAGTGACTTCTTTCTGTAGCTTTGCCGTTATAAACACATATTATTTAAAGAGTATTGCAAATTAATAGCCAATCACAACAAAATTTGTCAAGAGATACAACTATGTCACTTGTGGATAATCCAAACAAGTTCACTTTGTATTTTTACTCTGAAGATGCCCGCAACCACAGTAACCGGCTCACAGACCACAACCGCACCAAGATCGTCAACTTTGGCTGCAAATGTTCCCTCTTATTTCTTAAACCAAGATTATACCATAATCTCCGAAGTTTCTTAAGAATAGCGGAACTCATAGATACAATGATATAAGCTAGTTGGTAATAAAGTCTGCGTGAATCTGGAAGGCATATTGAGACCATCTTGGAAATGATTTTCAGTTTCATTTCAACAGCCACTGGGTTACAGTGTAGGAAGAACAGTCATGAATTCAATGATGCATACAGAAAAATCATTTTACAATAAGCTATTGTTAAGGAAAATGGGTAGAAAGTCCTTATGCTTTTTGGAATCTGGTCGTAGTTTAGATTGAACCTTAATGTAGTGGTGCTTGAATGATAACGGCAAATAAGCAGACATAAATCATCATCCACTCTTGCTCTGCTGAAGGTTGGTGTGACATACGGTCTGTTGTAGAAATAGATGCCAGCACTGTAAAGTAAATACACTGACTATACTTCAATTTTCATTGAACTATGTTGCATTTACCGAACTATCCACATTTTTCATTCTTCACAACTTGAAAGAGTGGATACTCATACAGGTTTCCGTTGATATTAATCACACTTTGTGAGAGTTTTACAGTTTCAGGGTTATGTGTTTGGCAAAGCTCGCTGCATAGTGGTTTCAGCAATTTCGGCTTACTGTTTCGCGAATATATATTAGTTTATATAGACATAGCCGAGCCTGATAACGAGATAGCAGATAAATCAGAGATATGAGATTTGTTTAATGACTGTAAGATAATAGTGGGATTACCCGAGAAATAAAACTAATTGACTGATAAGAGCAGAAGGGAGAAAAGACGTTTTGTATGCATAATCACCATTGTACCTGATGTCATGATTGTCACCGACCATGCACATGGTCCGGGGTTCGATCCCCGACCACAGACGCACTCCTTTGCCTCGATAAGCCAGAAATAATCCTGGTAAAGAGGAAAGGTTGGGCATGAGGCTGGCAACCCCATCCTGTAAAATAAACACTGCTACAGAAACTTCAAGCCCCAGCTTGAAGCCCCATGTTCCACTGGGGAACGTGAAGGAAAAAATGATTGTCTTAGTCTACCTTTGAGCAGCAGAGACACAACCACTGGAACGAAATGGTGCTGGTTATGCTAAAAGTTTGTTCTGGCTAGAAATAGCTTGTCACCTACGTAGAGTTGTGGAAGATGGTCGTCGTTATCTGATGTGTGACTGCCTACTCCTTATTAGCCACTTAATCGACAGTCATCTCAACATAAACGTCAAACTCCTACATTCCATTCCCACCTAGCACTACAATATTTATCGTGGATAATTGGTTAGTGGTAGGTCTCATTTCACTTGCATCAAGACTGCAATCTATCGATGCGTATTCAGACTTAACGATATAACATCACTGCTCTTTCCGGTCACCTTCACTTAAATAAACTTGGCGGCCCGTTAGTACCCAGGTGACTATAAATGGGAAAGTGATCTAATCAAGTGATGAAGTCTCGACCCTAACACTTGATGTGACATCGATGCCACTGGCTGCCGGGTAATCGCACATTGTACGTACTTTACGAACTGATGTATCAAGTTGTTGAAAGCACTGCACTAAGATTGTGTATGCAATTCTCTTGTATGTAATCACAAACAAATATAGCACGTGAAGTTTAAGAAATGTAAATCATTTCAGCATAATTTATATTCTGTAAGTATGCAGACGTCCAGATGAATCGCACATACACTATGTTGAAACAATCTTTGAGGGTTTCTGAGGTTGAGCTAGATTGGCTTTATAACATGATAGGTAGCATAAGGAAAGTCCAGTCTTCGGATATTCGTAATGCATAACACAACCACAACCTATATCACACATGCGTATTTTTGGTGTTTCACTAGTATTATTAGTATACTTGTTAAGGTTCGCGTGCAAATATTCGTGTGTTGGAGATAAACAAATAAGAGTTTGCTCGGATAGAAGAGAGGATGGAATGTAACGTAGGTAGCTTGGATTACATGGATGCAAATGTGATCCAACGTCTGTTGACGAAATCCATGTTGTAACCTATTTCTCTGATTTCTTGCCTATTGCCTGCTCATGAGACAATGTGAACTTCTTTGATTGTATTCTGATTGTAATTTCTAAACTTTGCGCGGTATCTTTATAATTGGAGTTCTTCTCTGTCGGTTGTCATTTTATGCCATATGAAATGTTTAAGTGAATCGATTGTTCTATGTTAACATACCTTTGGCATTTCGGGATTTTTTCTTGTCGATCAGAGTTGTTAGGTGATGTTTGTTTTCTTTTTGTAGGAAACTGAAGTTAAGCGGACGAAAGTGTTGTTCCATTCTCTGAAAACTCAAATTATCTAAGTATTGTTGCTAAATGTATGTGCCTTAATAGATGTTTTGAAGATGGTGGTGTTTTAATGACTTACCTCATATGAAATTATTATGTCAGTTATTGTTGGGACGTTGAGTATTTTAGTGAACCTTAGTGTACATTGATTGTATACCCTTTTCACTTAAGTCTTTTGGTATATATGATATTTCGTGTTAGCACTTTATGATGGGAAAATAAAACAAGATTGTGGTAGTCTCAGATATTTCCCCGCCTGTTTTGTTGAAATCTTTTCCTGTTTGTCAACACTTCTGCTCTGTAACCGAGCGACAGCGTTTTTTCCCAACATCCTTCATTTCTCAACAGTCTCTGAATTGTTTAATTCATATAAATATGCTGCCAAAGTTCTGATTATGGTCTACGGAAATCAAATTTTTTATACTTTAATAACTTTATAACTTAAACCTGATAATAATAATTTGCTTTATTCCAAAACAGTACTTGTGATACAGAATGGAATTCTCAGCATCTTACTGCAGTATTTCATCCAGTCAGTACATTATCAATAAATAAAATTCTACATAGATTATGGGTAATCTCAGTTCATTATGACAACAACATATTGGCATGTCGGTAGCAAAGCCAAAGTTGAACAGAGTGTTTGAAGGTGTTAGAAAAGTAGATGCTAGCATATTTACTGGCGCAAGCGGTAACAAAAAGGTCGAGATACACAGAGTGTGAGAGAACGAAGAATGTTTTTAATAGAGTTTGTAAGGAGGGAAGAAACAAAGCAGCACATAACAGAAAAGGGTGGTGTGAGTTAGATAAAATGTTTTTAGCCCATTTTTCACATGTGTCCAAATGCCTGTCAACCAGAACACACTACTGATGGAAAAAATGAGCCACACGAAGTAAATAGCCATTATAAGGAAAGGTGAATAACAGACTTTCAACAGACGAGGGTAATTATCAAGTAAATTCAAAGAAGTGTTGGTTCCTTCATATTAATTTGATGGATGGTCAAAAGAAACTGATGGATTTTCCTGACCATGCCACATAACACCTAGAGCTACTGAGTTGTATGATCTCTTAACATCTACCCAGAGATTAGTGATGCATAGATATGTGCCAACTCAGCACAAATATCCTTCATGTCTGAGCGCAAAACCACAGACTGACTGGTAATCTCCACTCTGCTCAGTGACGCCCTGTTAAAATTCAGAAATATCAACACGGTGATATCATAGGTTACAAGCATTTCTACAAAGGCAGCGATGTCCGGACACACAAATGCCTCACATCCTCTTCTGAAAAAAGCTTAGTCCCACTTGCAAAGTTGTTCGCGCAAAGAGCGATGTTCACACAGTTCATGATGACTAAAATAGGCTTACATGTTATTCATTCTTTTCGATTTCTGCACTTATAGTTTACTATTGTTCTAAAATCAGGGTTTTCCAAGTCTTCTAGCGTGACTCTAAAATGAAAATTAGCACCAAACGACCGAATCTGACCTCCTACTTATTTTAGGAATGTGCCATGTGAAGTTGGTGAATAGGACTACCTGACAGAGGATATGTAGTCATATAAGAATATTTTCAGAGGAACAAGGGTTCGAATAAGATATCGTAAAGTCTGAAGGTGCTTTTGGAACCGTAGAGAGTTGTAGTGTGGGTCAGCAAGAACTTTTATGGTAAATGAGTTTTATTTGTATGACTCAACTGAATCCACATCTATGTCTCGTTTCATATATTCTGTCATTGTGATTATTTTATTTGAGTTTCCTTATCTCACTAATTTTCTGTCTGTTGACAGATTGAGATTTGTCCTACATCACTATCTGCTGTGAAATAAATTCTCTGCAATTGTTTATTTTTCATTAAAACAGAATCAGTATAATTTAGTGGTCAGCGCTAATACATTGATTGAACTACCGTGTGCATCTGCTCGTCACCGTGCTGTTTCGTCTCTGTGGGAGAAAACAACAGATTTTCTGGTCTTAATTGAACAAGGCACAAAGTCTGGTTTTAAAGCAATAAATGAAGCAAGAGAATACTTGGTCAGTTAATTTCTTCAGTTGAATTAGTTCATTTCACTGGGAACTTTCATGCATTTAAACAGTAGCGAGTGTTTTAATGTTATATGTTTTAGGAGCGTATACGGGAGACTTCTGTTATACTGTTTCTTTTATTCTACTAGTGAAATAAGTACTGAATACATCAGCAGGCGTGGTGGTGAAAGCTTGGAGATAATCGAACAGTTTCACTTCACTCTGCACATGATTAATTTACCCAATTTTATACTTACATTCTTTTGTTTCAACTTCAAAGTATATTCTAAATTAATTTGTTTCTTAGGTATACCACAGCAAAACAGTATAATTTACTAGATGACAAAGTTTCGAACACAATTTATTATTCATAATCATGTATATCAATCATAATCACACAACTTTGAAACTTGAGTTTTATAGCTTCCTCTGTCCTCTCCTATTTGTCGTAGGGTAGTAGAATTCTCCAGATATCTGGGACAGGTGTTGAATCATTCCTATTACATGTATTTGCAGTTGATTCGATAAACAAAGTTTGTCATCAATCTCTCCCTCCACCCTGTGACATTAGATTTTAAAACTGTCATCCTATCCCATCCTATTGTATGGTTGTGTATGACTGCATGTAGTGCTATAGCTGAACTATTCTCTAGATTCCTTATCTTATTTGGGTCACCCAAAGGTTTTTATGTTCGGCTAGTCTGACTGACCCTGTTCTGCTAGTTTGACCTATGTATTTGACCTGAGAATCATTGCAGGCAGGGTATTAGATAAACTAAACTGTTTTGTTTTAAAGGCTCCACAGGATCCTTTAACCGGCAAAGCTTCTTTCTAATTGAGTTTGTGGGTTTGAATGCCACTTTTATTCCTACTTTATTAAGCGTTCTGCGTAAGGTTTCCGAGGTTCCTTCCTTGTATGGAATTACTATTGATGATTTAGATTCCTTATTGTTGGTGTTGTCTTGCGCATATTTGACATGCATGTCGTTATTATTATTATTATCACTATCACCACTACTATTATTAACTTCACTTTTACATTTTCTCACATTATTATTTCCTTTAATTCCTAGAGGAACATAGGGCTTGAGTCTCGCGTCTCCATTGCGTTCGGTTTTCTGCCATCTAAATCATCAATAGTAATTCCATACAAGGAAGGAACCTCGGAAACCTTACGCAGAACGCTTAATAAAGTAGGAATAAAAGTGGCATTCAAACCCACAAACTCAATTAGAAAGAAGCTTTGCCGGTTAAAGGATCCTGTGGAGCCTTTAAAACAAAACAGTTTAGTTTATCTAATACCCTGCCTGCAATGATTCTCAGGTCAAATACATAGGTCAAACTAGCAGAACAGGGTCAGTCAGACTAGCCGAACATAAAAACCTTTGGGTGACCCAAATAAGATAAGGAATCTAGAGAATAGTTCAGCTATAGCACTACATGCAGTCATACACAACCATACAATAGGATGGGATAGGATGACAGTTTTAAAATCTAATGTCACAGGGTGGAGGGAGAGATTGATGACAAACTTTGTTTATCGAATCAACTGCAAATACATGTAATAGGAATGATTCAACACCTGTCCCAGATATCTGGAGAATTCTACTACGCCTACGACAAATAGGAGAGGACAAAGGAAGCTATAAAACTCAAGTTTCAAAGTTGTGTGATTATGATTGATATACATGATTATGAATAATAAATTGTGTTCGGAACATCATCCAATAAACTGTACTGTTTCACTTTGATACATCTGTTAAATAAACTGATATGTGTCGACAGCCATCTCCATTCCGCACGTCGTGCATTTTTCCCTCGCAATGTTCGCCCGCATGAAGCCCCTGAAGAGGGTTTGTGACTCTAGGGTTGAAGGACATTAGTTCGATGACTGCTTCACCATTTATCCGACCACGCATTGCCTATCAAGTCTTGTTTGTACACTGGAGGGTCTTTCCTCTTCCAGGGCTTGGAGAAATAATTGTATATTCCAAGAATCTTTAGAGGAGCTCAGTGGTCCTCCGGTTGTGGTGGTTTTACTTAAGGCGGATCAGCACCCGTCTACAGTCTGCGCATCTTTATGGGTCCTATTTCAAGCCCTAGTTTGCTGCAAAAATCAGCCCATAAAATCGTAGTGTGTTCTTTTAACATATATCCTGAAACAAAACTCAGAGACGAAGCCTACCAGACACCTATGAGATTGTACAAACATGCTGACTAGGACTTGTATCAGCACCTAATTAGATGCTCTAATTAGAACTCATACTTTTCTAATGAGGCTTAGAGACAATTCCTAACAATCTTTATCACAATATTAACTGCATTCATGATGTCATTGCTTCGATTTCCCCCAAAGCGATTATATCGTCTAAGAAAAGTCTACGAAAGCGCTCAACAAAGACTTCAGATATCGTGAAGCATCATCCTTAATTGCTATTAGGCCTCTTCTCACCAGAAATCAAGAGTTAAAACATAAGCCTCGGAAAAAAAGAAATGCGGGGCATTCAGCCACCGCAGAACCCAGGGGAAATGCACCCTTTTTACATCCCTAAGTCATTTGATCAGCTGATGTCTACAGACTACATCTATTGAAAAAACTTCGAAATTAGGTAAGTATTTGTTATGTTACGCACAACGATGGAGTGAAGCGGTTTTAGTGTAAATAGCAAAAGATGTTGTCTTTAGCCGGCCATAATTTACGACCAGTTAGCAAACAGTCGAAATACATACTGTTTCGTTAAGAAAACGCCAAATTACTTAAAGACATACAATAGTAACGGCCCGTAGTGATGCACTTCAAGGAATTCAACATAGATATGATAAAGTAGGCGGGTTCGTTCTTTTAATTATCTTTCATTCCTTTGTTGTGCACTTTTGGTGATGGTCTCAAAGCTGCTCCACACACACCTCGTTAAAAGAAGTCTGTAGGAATGCTCGGGAATTATTTTCACATGTTATTTTATTCTTGTATTGCATAGATTCGGTTTTAACAGGCAGATGCAATGTCCATTTTGTCTGCTTGTGAAATACTGAATGACGTAAGTATACACAATTTAACGCGTTATTTAGTATTCTCCACCACTTTAATTTTGTCTTTATAATATTAACAATGTCTACATCTTCTGATTGCATAATTTCTTCTTCAGGTGATAGTTACTTTCAGGGATTTCATGGAGTTGGATGTTGAAGAAGATTTCTGGAGTGTCATTAATTTTGTATTACATGTTAATTCAATAATAAATCTATTCGTCGTTATTCGTTTGTATATTCTGCTTGACCGATTAGACCGAATATTAGCCCTTGAGTGAGTGGTGAGGCACAGAGTGTATGAGGCTATCTTTGAAATACTAAGCAGAAGCAGATATCCAGAGAAGCTTATTGGTAAAAAGATTATGCTGTAGTCAAATAAAGTGAATATGTCTAAATCTCAGAGGTGGTATTGCGTTGGTGGCACAGTGGTTAGGATTCTCGCTGATCATATACATGGTCCGAGGTTCGATCCCCTGCCGACGAACACCTAATATCTATAGTCGGGCTGCGAAATTCGGGCCACCGACATCCAGGCTGAAAATTCCATACTTGTACCGAAAATAAAGTGCGGAATCAAGCTGTAATCAGAAATAAAAAATGTTGTAAAGCGTTTGGAGTTGTCTATCGTCTTAGCAGAACAAGTAAAGTGAAAATAAATCTACCTGAGATGGTATGCTTGTGATTTCCGCGTGTCACAATGTATGATGAGAATTGACCGCACCTTTAATAATAATAATGTGTATTTTCACATAAACACATAAAATCACATGATAATGCATGCCATTTTCATAGGCCCGATCAAGTATGGTATAATCTCAAGTCGTAGATTGTCTACAAGTTAATAATGTTTCAACAGCTAAATATTTAATATATATATATATACACTCATTCTCTTAACCAGGCCGTATAGTTGTCCTCCAGGTTGAGCAGGAAAATCGACTTCGTTTCGTTTTCACCCCGTGGTTATAATAATAATAATTTATTTCTGTAACAGAAACCAGCCATTTTTACAGGCATGTGCACTTATTAAAACTTATAGAATATATAATATGATTTGTTAATTTAGAAATAAGTCGAATACTGGTAAATGTGAGAGAAACATTTAAAATGAAGTGTACAATAAGGAAGTAGACATAACGTCAAATCTAAACTGTGATTGAAAAAATACATGTCAATTTCACGCGGGAATCATAAATGATTGCGTTATTTGGGAAGGTAAGTAGCATTTCCGTACAGGTGCTGACGTTATACATTAGAGATGCAGAATAAACAATAATTATCAGTAAATGATTCATAAAGTGTTGTAAAGTCTATAAAGCTTTAAATTCACCCGTAAGTACGCCATATTTGTGACATTTCCAGTTGTTTATGAGACCAACTTTGAACTTGTCAGCAGATTTTATAATGTAAGTGGTCCCGTTATTTACCAGATGAGCTAGCGATATCACGAATAGGTGGAGAATAGCAGTGCTGTATCACTACCTTAGTTGAAGGCAGTACCTTTGAAAAGGGAAGAAGACAGAAAAAACCGGCAGAGAGATGCAGAGGTATATAAAAGGTGTTAATAATTCAGAATATATAACAGACATGGGTTTCATCATTATTTTATTGTTTTTTTTCAAGAAATATTATTTCCCCGATATTCTACAGTCTTTTCTGCGAACAATTAGTTAAAGTGAAAGACAGGTGATAGTTTCACCTACTTATGTAGGTTTAAAAGGAGTTAAACACAAAAGTCAGAGTGCGTAAGCTATGTAAAAGAAAAGCGAGGGCCTAGTAATATATGTTTTTCTGAAGTATACAGTTCGGTTTCCTTCTGAAATAGCGGACTCATACCATTTACTTTCATTCGGGAGTTTGTATTTAAACTTAGGCTCTAGACAATTTTCAACTTCTATTTCTTTCTTTTCATTATTTTTTATTTTCACTTTTTTATCTATTCTCATTTTTCAGAAGCCATTCGAACTCGGGAGCCTTAGCAATACAGTGCTGTCCCACAGATAAAGGTGGTTCTCATATGTCCCTACCATCATATCCGCTGACTAGCAGTCACCACCCTCCCACCTTATTTGTGCAAGGCCCTCGCGGAATGCTTCATTTTTTTAAAAATTATTTATTTATTTTTCAGGATTTCTGTTGCAATATGCCACAAACATTTTTCCAAATATTCATTCGTCCACTCACTCAAAGTCATGGTATGAATGACTACTTT